GGTTAAAATTATAACCAATTTCGATTAATTTGAATCAGCATTCAACTATATGCATTACCTTAATTATACTCCATCTATTTGGTTTAGGGGTGACAAACGGGCGTGTCGGATATGAGTGGATCAAAACGGGTATTTTAAAAACGGATAAATGATCTGACCCGACCCATATTTGAGATGGATAAAAACGGGTTTATCCAGCGGATAATATGGATATACATATTATCCATGGCTTCTTAAATACCATGGAAGGGGTGAGTGTTTTGGCCAACAAGAAGAGGACTAAAGGTCCCCAATTTCAAACCCAGGTGGAGACTTAGGCACATGATGATGTTGGTTATAAGCAAGATGACCCTTATCAAGAGAAAGAAGAATAGGTACAATTTGTGAACAGCTACCAAGGGCAACAGAGTAATTTTCAAGGCTCCAATCAAAACCAATAGCGTTCTCAAAACAACCAAGGCAATTGGGTTTCTAACAATCAAGGGAATTGGCATAACAACAATAACAACCAAGGGAATTGGGGAAGTAACAACAAAGGAAATTGGGGGAACAATAATAATTATGCAAATCAGAGTTTGGGTTTTCAAAGACCCCCAATATACCAACAACCGAGCAACCCACCTCTTTATCCTTCCCACGGTTCAAGCTCTTCAAGCAATGAATAGGTCGTACTGAGAACATGTTCGAGCAAATGATGGAAAAGAATGTAGATTCAGATGCCCAACTTGCCTCACATACCAAATCAATCCGTAATCTTGAAGTTCAAATGGGGAAAATCTCTGAAGCTCTTAATAGTCGTCCTAATGGTGCATTACCAAGTGATACAGTAGTGAACCCAAAGGGTGGTAACAATACGGGGCAGGCTATGGAGGTTATCACAAGAAGTGGAAGAGGCGTGAATGCACCCACCTCAAATGAAAAGCAACTCGTGGATGATGACCAAATGATCCAAGAGGAGGGAATCCCACAAAATGATGTGTAAGTAAAAGATGATGTTCAGATTGATTTTGATGATAGTGTGAGGAGACCCGAGAAGAGGTGAACCTTTATAGGGAACATATCATTGACATGCCGGATCCAGTGGTGCAAAAGGATAAGGCACCCTTGCCAAAGCCTCCACCCACATACCCTTAAAGAATCGCTAATCAAGATGGTGAGAATCAATTCAATAAGTTTATTCAAATGATGAAAGGTCCCTCTATTAATGTGCCATTGGTGGAAGGTTTGGAACAAATGCCCGATTGTGCCAAGTTTATGAAAGATGTTGTGACCAAGAAGAGGTTGATGAACTTTAAAACTATCAAGTTCACTCATCAAATGAGTGAAATTGTTCATTCCATGGCTGCTAAGTTGGAGGATTTCGGTGCTTTCACAATTCCTTGTACTATTAGAAGTGCCGATTTTGCTAAAGCTTTTTGTGATCTTAGGGCAAGTATCAATTTGATGCCCTATTCGGTGTTCAAACTAATGGGATTAGGAAACCTAGACCCACATCTATGAGGTTGCAAATGGCAGATCGTATAATGAAGAGACCATTGGAGTAATTAAGGATGCGTTGTTTGAGTTAATAAATTTATTCTTCTAGCGGACTTTGTGATTCAAGATTGTTAGGTATATTATGAAGTGCCTATCATTCTTGGTAGGCCTTTACTTACTATGGATAAGGCCCTTTATGATGTTGAAGCTGAGGAACTCACTTTCTGTGTTGGTGATGAACAAGTGCTATTTTATGCGTGCAAGTGTATGCGGCAACCAAATAGCAATGGTGTGTGATATTTTGTGGACTTGATGACTGGTGTCATTAATGGTGATACAAGTGCTACAATCAATGTTGGTGACATGTTAGAAGCTGTTTTGCTTAACTTTGATGATGATGAGAGAGATGGTTTCATAGAATATGTGAGTTCTTTTCAAGGAATGGGTTCTTACAACTATGCACCCTGAAGGTTGTCATTGGATCTTGAGAATAGGAAGACTCCTCCTACAAATCCTTCAATTGAAGAGCCACTGACCTTGGAGTTGAAGCCATTGCCACCTCACATTTGGTCTGAATTTCTTGTCTCTTGTTCTACTTTATCGGTTATTCTTTCCTCTTATTTGACTAACGTGCAAGTAGATTCCATATTGGTGGTCTTGCAAAGGAGAAAGAACGATATTGGATGGACTTTAGCGGATATTGGGGGGGGGGG